ACTGGGCCCTTTTTTCTGTACAGTCGGCCACCCTAAGTGAAGGCAGGCTCGACCCAGGGCCTACAGGCCTAATTTTGGGGTCACCACGCAACTGGGTAAATACGGGCAGTTGCGCAGCGCCAGTTGGTTGAGAGCGCCCAGGCCCAGGCTGCCTCTTTTGAATGTAACTGAGGCAGGCCCTGGGCCAGATTCGCAACATGGACCAAACCCAGGCCGCAGGCAGTTGGACACGGGCAACCACCACAGGCCCAGGGCCTGTTTCGTTTGGACTGGGGCTCAGCCTCTCTGGGCCTACCGGAAGCTTCTGGGCAGGGGCCCAGCGCAGCCAATCTGCACGCAAGGCAGGCAGGCCACTTCCATTTAGGAAAGTGCCTGCCCACACATTTGGCATTCGGGCACTGGCTGCATGCTGCGCTAACGCTGGCCAGCGCTCACGTGCTCACGGGCGAGCTGGAAGGAGCAGGCAGCCATAGCCGAGCTGCGCTCCTGTAAGCTGGATAGGGCGCATGGTGGTCTTTGGGTGCACGAGGTTGTGAGTGATACGAGAGACATACCTGGTCCTTGAGGCGAACGGCATTGACCGAGATCTGCTCGTACTTCGGGGAGCTGTTGACGTCATCAGCGGCATTGTACATAGGCTAGATACGATCTGCCATTTGTAGTCTGGGCGCCGAGCGCCAGATAGGATGTCGACATTGGTTCTTTGTTGATGATGATGAGTCTACTCGAACATTGCCACTTATGAGCTTTTGCTGTGCTCTTATTTGGTGTGACTTGTATGCAATTCTGCTTTTGGTTCGAGGTCACGACTATCTGGTCTCAGTATGTATGATGCTGTTTGGTTTCTGAAGTTTGCTATCGCTCATTTTCTTTGCACTTTATTTTTTATTTTAAATTTGGTAAAGAATTTCGATGTGACCCCGAGGCAAAAGTTGTTCAGTTTATTTTTCTGCATAACATAGTTTTTTTCCGGATTTTTTTAGTTTTTTTTGCTAGTGTAATGACCCGCCAAAAACACAGACTGAGAACACTGCTGATTTCTGGGATTTGCCGCTGGAATGAATGCCTTGCTGAGATTCCCGCATTCTGCTGTGGTTTCCATATCTGTGTGTGTGCGTGCCTATTGGTTTGCATGCCTGTCTGAGTGCTTGTCGGCTGAGTGTGTTGTGACCCGCAAGGGTACTTGTTGGTTGAAAGTTCCCGCTGGGCCAGTACTTACCTGTGGCCGTGACTTTGAGGGTTGCAGTGGGGAAAACACTCAAGTAGGGGGGTTAGGCCCGCGACACTTAGAGCAGCGGGAAAAAAAAACACTCAAGTAGCAGGTAGGCGGTACCACTCAAGTAGTGGTAGACGTGTCGGGTACTGGAGACCGAGCAGAAGAAGACAAAAAGTTGGCATTTTTAGAGGCCCAGTAGCGGTAGGTTAGAGGTAGGCCGGTACCAATCCAATTAGCCCGGGTCTAGGGCCTGTCCGGACGATAGCAGAGCCTGCAATGATGTTTCCCTCCGAAAGGGAGGAGGTACCGGTTGCTGGGAGGCCGCTCGGCCTAGGAAGTCACCGCCCAAGAGGCCAGTAGGCCGCTATATCTTCCGGAGGAGCAAGTAGCTCCTCCTCATTTGCGGTATGCAAGGATTGGCGACATGCTGCTGAGCCAAGCGCTGGACTGGTACAGCGCTGCCCGGAGGTGAACGGCAGCTCGGCGCTCAGCCTGGCTATGGCGAACAGCCCAGCCTGAGGAGGAGGAAGAAGGGGGCGAAGGACGAGAGTGGCGAGGCACCTACCTGGCTATGGTGGACACCATCTTCATCACCTTGTTGGGCGCTGCATCTGGAAGGCCCCAGTTGGGGTAGTGCTGCACCAAGGAAGCTCGAGGCAGAGTCAGGCATGGCGGCGTAGTCAGCAGCGGCATAGCTGCTTTGGGTTGTCCTTTGGACAGGAGTGCAGCGCCATAGCTGCTTGTGTTGTCCTGTGCACAGAGAGGGGCAGAGCCCTCAGTTGTCCACCATAGCCTAGGCTTGTGAGAAGTTGAAGAAGGGGGGGAAGCCATAGCTATGGTGGACCTGTTGTGGTTGTGGTTGTGTCAGCAGTAAGAGGGAACTTCGGATATTGATTCTGGTTCATCCACTCATTGTTATTATTATCATTGGGAAGAAGAATAAGATTGGAGAAGTTAAGGAGGAGGAGGAAGGTGGAGAGAGAAGGGGGATTTGTCATTGATCTGGCTGGTGTACATCTACTTCTTCTTCTTCTTCTTCTTTCTCTCTTCTCTGGTCTCTATCTCTTTGCAAGTGCTTTCATTTCTTTCGCAATTGGGTGGCATTGTCTTCCATTGTGAAGTTGCACTTTGGGAATGACCAGGATCGTAACACTAGGACCTTCCCTGATCCTTGCATGGCCGGGCCGTCCGGGAAAATTGGGTGACCTGGGCGGCCCGGCTGGTAGCCTAGGTCAACACTATATAGAGTTGACCCAGCCACTGTGTTGGACATTCTGCCTTGCGCTGGCTTGTTCCTGGTGTGACGACGCAAGGCTGCTGGAGCTTTATGCTGGCGCCAGATTCTGCGTGTGGGTGCCAGCCTTGAGGGAGCTTATGCTGCGGACGTGGCCATAGCCACATAGATTTCGACATTGTTAGGAGTGCGGGCGATGAGGAGGAGGATCTGGACTGTGAGATTGGTGTGTGTGTGATGAGGGGAATCTTACCTGGACCATTCAAGACCTCGCGTGTGATATGCTGCTCGTCTCCAAGTGGATGAAGAAGATCTGCACCATCCTCCCTAATTGCTGCTGACGTGTATGGAGGATGGGCGCCCTGGTGTGACGTGCTCATTGTGTATGTCAGAGGTCATCAGAGGAATACTGTATTGCTGAGGTGGCGAGAGAGGGAGATGCCCGTGGAGGAAGTGGGCTTGAGGAGGGGCTATTGCTTCATTGATTCGTGTGGGAACTCTCGTCCTCCTCCTCTCTCTCTTCTCCCCCTTCTCTCACTCTCTTCTCTGAGGTTCGAGATATTGGAAGATTGCATACACTTTGGGCATGGAGTATTGCTGCGCTGAGTCAGACTTGTATGACGACATTCATGAGCTTCTCATCTGTCTGAGTTCATTGCACTGCAATGACAACACCAATAAACCAGATTGCGACATCTCACAGAAGACCAGACATGATTAATCCGAACTGAAAGCAGGAAACCAAAGCGAAGTGCACACCAAATAAGAGCGAGCAATACACTGAAGTGTTAGGATCTGCCAAACACGGACTGAGACAGATGATTTCTGAATTTTGCCAATGGAACGCATCCCTTGCTGAGTTTCCCGCTTGTTGCTGAGTTAGTGTGTGCGTGCTTGCTGGTCTGCATGCCTGTCTGAGTGCTTGTCGGTTTGAGTGTGGGTGTGACCCTCGAGGGTGCTTGTCCGCGTGGAAGGCCCAAAGGGCCGGTACTTACCTGTGGCCGTGGCATTGGAAAACACTCAAGTGGTGGGGAAAGAGGCCCACGACACGTGAAGCACCGGAAAAACAGTCAAGTAGCAGGTAGGCCGGTACCACACCACGTAGAGGTAGATGTGCCGGGTACTCGAGGCAGTTGGCATTTTTAGAGGCCCAGTACTTGTAGGCTAGGTCTAGGCAAGTACCAGTCCAACCAGTCTGAGTATAGGGCCTGTCGGCAGGGTTGCACCCCCCGACGGTCGATGGCCCTTGACTGGTCGGCACCTACCGGTCGGGGGTCGTCAGCACCCCGCAAAATAAATAAATAAATAAAATCTCTGGGGTCCAGAACTCCTAATAACACCACCAACACCCCCATAACGGCCCCCAATACCCCCATACACCCCCCCAACACCCCCAAACTGCCCCCAACACCCCCCTATACCCCCCCTTTACTTCAACCCCCCCACCCCCCATCCCCAAAAGTTTCTCAGCGGATTTGGTCTGTACTCTGCAAGCGCAGTACAGCCCCAACTCAGATTTGAAAAAAAAAACAGTGGATGCACTGGATGTTTTTTTTTTGTTGAAAAGAGCTTGGTTTTAATCCTCCACGTAATTATCAAAGCTGGTCCCCGCGGGAGCTCAGCTAAAAGGGAAAAAGTAATGAAAGCCAACCAGAGGCTACTTACTCTTCCTGGAAACTAGTTTTTGTCCTTTAAAACCCTAGACCCCGTTCCTTCTTCTGCCTGATACTGGATGTCTGCCCCTCTTGTGGGGATCCTCCTGCTGTGTGAAGGCCCCTTTTTTAACAATCCTGAGTCCTCTACGATCAGGTGTAAGCCCCCTCAACAACCTTAAGTCCTCTACAATCAGGTCCCAGCCCGCTCCTCTCAGCTGGAAGGCTGTGAGGTTGGCGTCCCTGCCTGTTGCTCGAAACCAGCCTTTCCTGTGGGGACCCTCCTGCTGTGTCGATGCCCTTTTTAACAACTCTGGGTCCTTTGTGGTCTGGCCTAAGTCCGCTCCTCTCAGCTGGGAGGCTGTCAGATCGGTGTATTCGGCGAGAGCGGGGTTATCCAAACTGAGGCCGAAGGAATGATCCACAGCTGTTCCTCACGCCCTGAGTCCCAAGCTTTCGTAGATATTTCACCTGCTGCCGTTTTTCCCTTTTGTTGACTGGTCGGCAGACTGCCAACCGGTCAGCCCTACTGGTCGGCTGCAATACGGTTGGCGGTCGGGGTCGACGGTCGGCAGGGATGCAACCCTGGTCCATGGTACTGGCACTTGCCCGGGGCAGGAGGAGGAAGGAAAGGGGACGAGGTGGTGGGCGAGGGGGGAAGGAGGGGGGAAGTGCATGAGCGGAAGTGAAAGAAAAAACACAAGATTCTTGAAATACCTGTTGTTCTTCACTGCAGTGCTGTGTCTGTCATTCTGCAGAAAATAATATCATGAGGGGGAGTGAGGGGGGTCGGAGGCGGGGGGAGGAGGGGCATAGGTGAAGAACAAACAAGAGAGAATGCACAATACTGAGACATGTTCTCCTTCATTGTACATCTATGTCTGTGACTCTGCGGCAGATATTGTCAGGCAGCATGAAGGCTGTCAGATTGGCCACCCAATTATGCAATACGGAGACTCAACGGGAGATTGTCCAACAGATCGTGTCATCCCAATTTGAATCTCAGTCTCAGGCGGTGGCGAGTGAGGGAGGTAGCTTCCATGGCAAACCACAGACTGCTCTGCCTGATCTTGGAGTTTCTAGGGTGTGCATAACCGGAGGGGAGTTAGCATTGGTATCGGAAACGGGAAACCTCCATCAGCGAGCGTGTGTGATGGCTTCCGCGCTAATATCGCTGCGGCCAGAGGTGGAGATACCGAGCGTGTGGGATGTGCTAAGAGTGTTGGCGAATGTATGCACAGAGGTTGATCCCTGGCAAGGAAGTCAAGGGCAGGGAGATGGACTGGTTGTGGCGATGGCGATAGCGTCGATCCTCAACAAGATGAAGGTATCGGAGGTAGACAAGGGTGTACGCATCGTTGTGACAGAAGAGCTGCTGTTACAAGTTGAGGGAGATGAGGGAAAAGGGTTGCGGCGGGAATCTATAGACGAGTTGCGGCGGATGCAGCGTGTGGTAGGTGCACTTGCTTGGATAGGTAAGGGTCTTTCCATGAGAGGGCATATGGGGCTAGCAGCGATTGTCGACAAGTTTATGGGACTGCTTCAATCAGTAGAGTACTCTGCTGCCGTGAGCAAAGTCTCGTCGCAGGATCGCTCAGCAGAGAGCCCAGAAGATGTACGAAGGGAGAGGGACGAAGTGATCAGAGCTGCTGCAAGAGGCTTGGGCTTGATTGTCGCTGAAAGGCATGAGTGTCTCAACAAGGCAACCTATGGGAATGTGCACATTTTACATAGGCAAAGGGTTTTCACATCGATGGTCAAGCAACTGCTGGAGATTCTGAGACTGACTAAGGACTGTCAGCCAAGGTATAATGCCTGGAGGAAAGTTTCAACCCCTGAAGCTGCTCCCATAGTTATGGAAAAGACCTGGATAATGTTATGTCTTGACTCTTGATTGGGAAAATTTACTAAGAGAAGATGTTGAAAACTTGATTGACCGAGTGATCGGTGGTTATGACTGTCAATGACAAAACTGTGAGAAAAACAAGTTAACTGAACACATGTCGAAGGCTCTACTGCTGCTGCTGATGGAGCGAAACACATTCAAAAGGCATTCAAACAATGTAATGTGGTGTCTTGCATGGGGACTTTGACTTAATAACTTTCACAATAACTGTTGGATTGGAGTTGATCCAAGGTGTTTTCTGGTAAGGAATGCAAGCATGAGTCGCTGATCTCTGTATCAGTTGTATAATTGTGCAGGGTGTGGGTGTGAAACTTAAGGTGTTCAGAATGTGTGTGGTTGTGAGGCCCACCGATGGGCGCCAACACAGCCAGTAAAGTGACTGCTGCTGATCTCTCTCTCTCTCTCTCTCTCTCTCTCTCTCTCTCTCTCTCTCTCTCTCTCTCTCTCTTTGTGTGTGTGTGTCTGTGTGTGTGTGTGTGTGTGTGTGTGTGTGTGTTTGTGTTTGTGTGTGAACCCGTTCAAAATCCAATGAAATAGATGGTTGAGGTAAGCATTGCACAAGGTATGAAACTCAAAAAAGACGAAGTGGGTAATGGAGGAAGAAGCTTGGTGTATAAGCAGTGTCCTGTTACCACAAATGAAGATCAAAAGTTTTTGGACTCTATACTGCCGTCTTCCCCGAGCATAAAGCACCCTCATTTTGACTGTATGGCACCAGAAAGGTGGAATTCATAATAAGGATGCGTTGTGTTCGGGGGAAGATGGCAGTCGATAGCATTTTCGGCAAATGACATACCAAAATTTTAAGTCATATATAAATGAAATTATTATATATCTTGAAACTTATTATATAGGTATGAAAGGATTCCACACTCTGTCTATGGCCGAGTCGCAGTCCCGCAGTCCCACCTGGGACCAGTCTTAGTTAGTCCCGGTAGGTCTTAGGGCCAGGGTCCTAGGAGTCTGCTAGGGTCTAGAGGCCGAAGGGTCGTAGTCCAGCAGGGTCCTTTAGGTGGGCGGTTAGAAGTCGTAGGCCCAGTACCCGACAAGAAAGTCCACAGGCCCAAAGTCCAATTGTGTACCAGCATCCTAGGAAAGTCCAGTAAGTTCAGGAGAGGAAGACGAGAGCCATAGCTGCAGGGTCAAAGTAGAGATAGAGTAGGAGCGAGAGAGACAGAGAGGTTTGCGAGTGCATTCAGAGAGCAAGTGTGAGCAGTCCAAGAATAGATATATATATCATCACAAACAGATATATATATAATATATATATATATATATCGTCAAATAGAACTGCCCGGTAAACCGTAGGCAGAGAGGGAGAAGAGGACAACAAACGAGGGGCTGTGACAAACTGTTTCGTCGGAGTTTCACCGACTATATATATATATCCTCTTCTCTCTCTCTGCCTACGGTTTACCGGGCAGTTTTGTTTGTGACGATATATATATACGTTGTCCGTAGACATAAGACTCTACAGCCGCCATCCAATGCAACACGCTTTCTTCCCTTTTGCCGGTGTACGTCCATGAAATTTTAACTTTAATTTTGTTGCTGGTCCCAACTCCTTCTTCTCACTGTCTTCCCCTTCCTTTCTTATCTCCATCTCCGTCACCACCTCCTCCTCCGCCGCTGCCCTGCACTATTCTGTCAATCACGGCTGGAGTGATCATCCACTTTGTTTATATAGGACTGAATGTGCAGATCTACGTCCTTGGCGGACTCCTGCAAAAAGGTGTTCCATACATTTTCAAATTCCAGTTGATTCGTTTCAACTTTCTGCAAGGTCCTATTGATTGTAGCAACGTCCTGTTTCGTATGGAGAACTGTTTCAGTTAGGAGGGCAAGTTTTTCTTCAGTAGCCGCTTGTTTTTCCTTTTGTGCATGTAGCTCGATGTGTAACCTCGCCCCCTCTGCTTGCAACTTCTTTCTATCATCAAGCTCTTTGCGCTTTGTCGCTAGCATCTTGCTATGTAGTTCAGTGCGTTTTTCTTCCAKCATCWRTTMTYTCTCHCTTTGAKCTGTTACTAGTGCTAGCCTTGCTATGAATGTGTCTCGTTCTTCTTCTGTCTCTTCTAACTTGTCACTGGAATAAGAATACTGGTCATACCAGTCCAATGGCTTGACAAATACTTCTCCCCGGATCTCACTTGTCTCGCCACTTTCTGCACGCCGCCTGATAAGTCTCTCTCCCCCTTCTTCAGAGGCTTCTTCTTCTTCCTCAATAGTCTGCAATTCATCCTTTATTTCCTGTTCCCACTTTTCCTTTAACTTCCTCTTCATCTTCTCTTCTTCTAACTGGGTTTTTTTTTTTAACTCTTCTTCTTTCTTCTTCTTTCTTTCTTCTCTTTCTTTCTTCTTTTCTGCCTGCCGGCGGTGAATCTCTACCTGCTCAGCAGGTGTGGGCCCTGGCTTCACTGCTCCTGATCGCATCATCATGCGGGACGTACACACGCGTCCGAACCCCAGTGGGAATATGAACCTGAACAGTGGGCCCCACAAGACAGAGAGGGCCAACAGGCCCTGAACGGGATAGTCATCCATGATGACTGCCGGCACAGGAGACCCTCCACCGGATCACCAAGATACTATCCCACTTATAGACTTAGTTTTGACTTGCGGTAATGGAGTACTATACTGCCTCTTTCCCTTTTCGACTGTAGAAGGTGCTGCGTACTATCAACGATAGCTCAGCCTGCAATGAACTTTGAATATGTCCTTTTTTTTTTCTTTTTTTTTTGATGTGCTATCTGGCCTCCTGGATCGAACTTTTGGTAATGTGTTTCTGTTGTCTTGCTTTCTCTTTTTTTTTTTTGTTGGTACTAACTTGGCTGGTTGCTGGGTGCAGATATGGAGTATAGCGCAGAAGGTCAGATGCAATTGGTTCACTTGTCCAACCAGGCAGAGATACTTCGTATACCCTGTTCTTTCT